ATGCCTCTCACAATAAACCTTCTTCATCTAAATACACAAAGGCCAAATCAATTCTCCAGCCGTCTTCACAAACCTCATTAGACGGGAACGAGTTCAGTAGTACACCGGCACAGACAGGTCTGATCTGAAATGCAAACCGCGAGCCAAAGAATCTCATTAACAAGACGAGTCGTCGGTACCTCAGTTGACGACCGTATTCTGATACTAAAAACTGATGTAAGAGTTGCTCAAGAATGATAAAACATGAAGCAATGTGCTGTTATATCGGAGGAATTATCCTTTGTGTTCGATCTTTGTATAACAATTATTACTAGTGGTGTATGGGCCATCTTACTCTATACAAGTATTGTTGTGGTAGTAAGCAAAGAAAAACTGCAAAGAAATTAGTAAAAGTATATTGGTATAAAAAAAAAGGGAAATCTAGTATTGATGGACAGTTGCTAACGTATTCCGGAGAATGAAGTACGAATTACATGTTTAAAGTAAAATTGCGACACGTGGCTAAAGTAGTGTTGAGTTACTCTTACACGAGGCAACTCGTTTGTACCACTCACTTGGGTGGTTTGTCACAACACCTCATGTCACAAAAATATCCCACCTCACACCTCACCTCATGTCATAGCCTCATGTAACAGCCGCACACTGCTTCGAATGCAACAAATGCAACAATCCTACACTGCCCGCTTTTTAGCTGATTTTACATCATATATGATCATACAGATAGAGCTAAATAAAATTAGCATTTATTTATACTATATCATAACACTTAAGTTAAAATGTGCTTAATATTCCCTGTCCGTTGGTGAGTCATAGCCGTAGGTGCAAACTTTCTTACCACTACCTCTCCTCATTTGAAGTAGAACATTGTACTGACAAATTTTTTCAAATGAGGTACTCCCTCAAACTCATTTTAATTTCATGTCCTACCCAACACTAGACTAAAGTAGCACGCCGCGTCCGCAGAATTAGGTATGCCAAAGAATAGGTACATAAGTGCATTGATTGAGAAAAACTTTCATAGATTTCTCACAGTTAGCGTTACGGCAAAAAATCTGTTAAAACCAAAAATCTGTAACAAACGCTGAACTACGGAACGAGTCAGTAAACTTTACGAATTTCTCCATGTGTTTTTTACATATCTTTGTTCTATGTTTTAACCGGTTTTTTTGCTGTCACCTGTGAAAACTATGAAAGTTTTATCTTCACAGTTGCCTTTATCAGTGGCTGACAAGAAACATGTTAAACTACAATCATAACAGTAATTTACCAAATCAAACGCTGCTGGTTATGTCCTGCCTTACATTACTATTTGTGCCCTATTCTAAAACATCCACGGGATATAAGTTCGCCACCAATTTCTTATATTTTACAACATGGTTTTAATAACTTCCAGAATAAGCCCGTGAGTGGGTGAAGACATCGCGCGCTCATTGGAAAATCACTGCCGCCCACTGAATACTGAGCAGCGGCACAATGTCATTCGCAACTCGACTTTGCGTAAATACACCGCGTCTCTAAGCAAATAGAGAAAATCCACTTTAAAAAAGAAATAAGGCTAATAAGTTTTAGTAGCAGTAGAGCTCCCTGTGTAAGAGTTCGTCCAGAGAAGTACTGCCGCCTTATCTATTTCTGCCGCCAGGCAATAATTTTCACATTACTGCGTTTCAATTTTGAAGGGTGCTGGTGTAATTACAGGTTCATGGGACTTGTCAACTTATGTCTCCCGCAGCCCGCTGCAGCTAGCCGCCGCTTACTGCAACTTCGTTTTCATGTTTTGTTTAATAAAATGTTGCCTTATCTTGTAGAGGATAAAGTTTATATAACATACAGTGTATTATTATATACAGTGTGAGACAACCCTTACTGACATTTTAAAAATGCTTTTATTATGTATTATCGACGTAAATTCACATCCGGCTTTATTACGCCAAGTTTCTTAAAATTTTCTTTCAACCTTTGACACAAACTAATTCCGTATCAAATAATTCGTTACAGTATTAAAGGCAACAAAACTATCTCAACTCAAATGATGAGAGTACTTTCAAGTAAAGTTCTTTTTTATGCCGAATATTTTCGAGTTGAAAAAGTTTTATGCGAGCGAAACTTGAACCTGTAAGTTGCCTAGAAATTCGATTTCTAACATTTCCTTTGCTGTTTCAAATATGTTTTCTGTATATTAATACGAGCACGGACACGAAACTGACTTCCACTGTTCCATCGAGTTTTATGGACAGTTTAAAATCTACGAAAACTACTAAAGAACGTGCTAATTTCTAAGAGGTAGCGCAAAAAAATAGTTTTAGTTAGTTTCAATTAATAGAAAGCCGTAATTAAATTTCTGATTAATTAAATCTGTAGGTGAAAGATAAATAATGTGTTTTAGTCACACACGTCCTTCAAAGAGTCAATGAAAAAATCGACATACACCCGACAGACTTCCGACCAATACAATTTTCGGTGAAAAAGAGATGCTAAATTTTTTTTCTATAATATCAAGCGAGGGACGAGACGAACAAGCCGTGATCTTGGAGACAAGTGACACGCCCATCCATGATAGTTGTAGTGCCAGTAAGAGCGGTTACACACTCGCGCGATTTTAAGCGGCGATGCAAACGCAATGTAAGCGCGCTACTACATTGATACAAACGCGCGATTGCATCGCTACGCTTGGGATTCATGGGCGAATGCAATCGCGCGTTTGTATCGATGTAGTCGCACGTTTGCATCGATGCAATCGCCTACAAATCGCAAGCGTAGCGATGCAATCGCGTGTTAAAGAACCTTAGACTATATTGGAATATTGACCTACTCTAATTAAACGAGTCGATAATGACTTATTGTTAGATTATGGTATAACACTTAAGAAATCCGTCATTTTGTTGTAATCAATTTTTGTTTGGGTATTCATTCCGTACTTAAGGAAGCTCCTTTCCTTTATTTTTTTTCTATCCTCTAAACAAAGATCTGAGGAGTGTTTAACTACGCCCGTCACCCTGAGACGTAAAGTTGACATGACTCATGTGTCTGTAGTTTCACCAAATATAAATCAACAAAGTATAATCTTTTAATTGTATAATGCTAACTTATACTAAAAATAACGAAGACACTAGTAGACTAGACAATACAATATACTGACCACACATGATTGTGAGTAGGGCTGTACACTTTTGTACATCTGTCGTGGTACAAAACAAGTAAATAGTTTTCAAATTTAACGGGACCTCTCACGTTCATCTATCACACAACAAAAAGAATGCTTTCCTAAACCGTCCATCAAAATGATTTCCGTGTAACAACGGTAATCGTGTCCTTTCAAAAAAAACTCGTCCGATTTTGTCCGTACCCAGTCCGGGACCCACATCAAGTGGACAATACGGTGACGTCAAAAAACGACGCCATCTTTCGTAAAAAGCGCGCGAAATCACATTGCGAATTGTATTACAAATGAAATTGAATTTTCGCCTTCTATTGTAACATTTATACATTTTTCATTCGGTATTCAACTGTGATGTTGTATTTATTCATTTTGCATTCAATTTAATTTACCAATATTTTTTTGCTAAAATTATTTTGAGTTTAGTCAATAATTGTTATACCGATAAAGCTATACAGAGGGTTTATAGGACACATGAGCATGGCATCAAGCAAGACATTCGGTGAGACGAAAACTGAACTGTAAACCCCTATAAATTACTTAATGCCTTTGTTAGTTGCAATTTATTCTACATCGAATTTGGCTAGAGTGTAGGATTATTCAAGGTTAGATTGAAAGCCCATTTTTTTGTCAAGCACGTGTCAAGCACGTGTCAAGGTACCAAAAGGTAAGCCCTGTGCTATGGCACTCCTGGCTTCCCCTCTCGGCAATAGTACATACAGTCAGTAAACAAAATAAGGTTATTTGATTTAAAATGACAATAAAAACTCTTACAGTTTACCTAGAGTCATAAACAGGGGGCAAATAAATTAGACATTATTAAAAAATGTTAAATATTGAACGGGTACATAATGTACTTAAAAATTAAGCTAAAAACATAATTAAACAAGTATGTGTGGGTGTGTGCGTGTGTGCGTGCGTGTGTGTGTGT